ACAATCTATTGTTACCAACTAAACTGCCTAAACATAAGTCTAATTCTCAAAGTTGTCAATAACCAATTAGTAACTTATCACAAAATTTATTTACCTATTCTACAAACCTCCATCTCTAAGTTTTTTTAATACTTGATAAACATGAATTTCATATTCTTTTACATTCTTAGAGTAGATTAAAATGTCATCTAAGTAACAAACAACAAAATCATTTAAAAACTCACAAAAAATATCATTTATAAGATGTTGAAAAGCAACCGTTGCATTTGTGAATCTAAAAGGCATGACATTATATTCAAAGTATCCATACTTTGTTCAAAATATAGTCTTCCATTCATCTACTTCTTTAATGTAGATCAGATTGTACACTCTTCATAGATCTATTTTTGTATAGATCTTAGCTTGATTTAATTGATCAAGATATCCAGATATCAAAGACAAAGGATATCTATTCTTGATAGTAATCTTCTTGAGTCCTTAATAATAGATATACATTTGTAATGATCCATCATTTTTCTTCACAAATAAGATATGAGCTCTTGTAGGAGATTTTGAATTGTGTATGAAATTCTTGGCCAAGTTTTCATCAATGTACTTCTTGAGTTCAACCAACTCATTTTGTGATGAACTATAGATTGGACCAAATAACACTTGAGTTCTTTCTTTAAGATTGATTGAGCAATCATATGGACGATGCTTTGAGAGAATATCTACATTTTTTTTTTTAAAAATACCTTAAAAATCTTGATATTGACTTGGAATTTCATTTAAAATCTTTCCATCATTTAAAATGGGTGTGGCATAAATAACAAAAGAAAATCCTTTTTTTGCAACATGCAAAAAACTTTTGTACATACAAATCCAAATTTTACTACACTAGATTCATGGCTTTCTACTCAAATAGAAAAATTCTTAATGATGTTTAAAGAAAATTCAAGTTTACAAGAAATCCATTTTATCACAAGATTATATTTTTTTAGCAACGATAAATCTAAAATGATTGAATTAGAAGAAAATCTAATTATATTAAAAATTATATGACTATTAAGACTATTTATTATTATATTTATAAGAAGTGTTTCATAAATAACATCTCCAAAAGATAAGAAACGACTGTGTATGACTTATACTTGTATGATTTTAGTTTTTTGTACTAACTGTATATTATGACTTTTAACAAATTTTTCATCTAAAAAACAAGTTGAGGCTCTTCAATCTATTAAGGTAGAAACTTTGTGATTATTAGATCCTAAATACACATCTATTGTAAAACAAGGAGAGGATTTTGAAGAAAGAATAGGACCTCCATTAAGAATTGTACAAGATTTCAACCACACAATTACTATTGTAGGTGGATAAATTTGTTTTTTAACATGTTTTCATCTTCGACAATAGTATTCCTTATTTTGTAGTTGTATCATTTCTTTGGATAATATCGAGCAATGTGCTTAGCTTCTCTACAATATAAACATAATCCTTCTTGACGACAATAAGTCTTTTCTTGTTTGATAAGTGGTTTGAAATATATTGCATGAATTTGCATGTCTTCTACTTCTAAATGTTTAGATTGAGAAGTCATTGGTGTCATCATTGAATTATAATAAAGTTGAGGTTCACTAGTACAATTTTTAGATGAAAACTCAAAAAGTTGATTGTCACATTTCACAACAAGGTCATTTGCTTGACTCAATGTCCGAAGATCAAATAAATTGAGCATCAATTTTTTTACTTCATATTGTAATCTATAGAAAAATTGGTTGATCAGTGCTACATCATCCCACTTGATATTTATCTTTAATTATCAAAATTATGAAGCATATAATATCACTGATTGATTGCCTTATTGTAAGATATGAATCTTGTTGGTTGCAACATTGGATTGCATCATATTTTTCATATATAGATCAAAACTCTACTAAAAATGGTTTCAAATTATCCAATATTAGATCATGTTGTTCAAGAAATGATGAAAACCATGATAAAATAGAATCTAAAAGTAATATTCTAATAAACTTGACTTATAATCCTTGAGTTGGATAACTTTGAGATTGTAGTTCAATCACCAGTTGTACTTGATTGATGAATCTTTGAAACTTAGATCTTGTGCCATCAAACTTCTCAAGCAATCCAATTTTTGGTTCCTTGAAACTTGAATGATATTCCATTGTAGGAAGAATAGTATGACTTGGTGTAGTTATTGAAGCAACTCCAATTATCTCTATATCTTCCTTGCTTGATAATCTTGTTGCTCCTTGTAGTCGTAGACTCAATTGATGTCTTGGAAGTATTAACTCTCTCATTTTCTCTTATATTTGAGCCTTTGCACTCTTCATTTAGCAAGCTCTGCTATACTAGCACAATAAAAAGAAATGTGTCTATTCTCACAAAATACAATACTCAAGAATCAAGAAAAAAAAAAAATCTAAAAACAATATCAGTTTAGAAGATGGTAATCCACAACTTCTAATATGCTTATGTCTTATTAAGAAAAAGGCATAATCCACTCTTAATCAAAAAAAGACAAAGCTTTGACATTATATGTGTATTCTTGTCAATCTATCAAGGACACAAACTGGAAGAAGATGTATAAATTCGTGGAATCTATATCATAATAAAAGTGATAAAATAGAAGAAAGTATGTATATTCAAGGAAGAACTAGAATGACTATTGTCAAAGACTAGAAAACATAAGACTCTTGAAATTAGATTAAAAGCAAGAAAGAAGTTAACAAGAGTAAAGAAGGCTTCATTCTTACTTCTATATATACTACTTAACTAAGAAATACATGGCAATATGTTATAGGACCTCTATTACGCGTCCAACTTGTAGGACATGTCTAATTTGTAAGGCAAGTTTCCTAGGTATGCACCATATATCTATGAAGCTTCTAGAAAGTTTTTTTAGAAGATATTATGAAATTAGTCTACTTTTATCTATTTTTAGCTACTTCTATCTAATCATATAGATAATTATTAAAGTAAGTATGTATATTTGTGATACACAAATGAGATATAATTATTTTTGAATTATTTTTTAAAATAATGAATAAAAATATTTTCTTAACATAAGTATATAAACCACAATGTATCACCTTTTTTTTTATAGTACACAATGTTTCTGGCATAAAATTTGTAAATATATAATTATTGTAATTTTAATAATGATTTCTTTATATTTTTAAAATAATTGAGATGTTATTGAATAGAATTGTAGATTCACCTATCTACTTATATAAAAAATAAATGGTGTCTATTTTTCTATCTACAAAAATTACTGATTGGTTCTGGTTGTTAGCACTATTCAAAATCTCAAATTATAAATGTTTAAAATCAGTTCTACATCACCTTGAATTGTCTCCTGTCACTATTCTCAACCCTTGTTCCTATTCTTCTTGTGAAATTCTGAAGTAAGTTTTTAAAGTTTTGAAATCATCTTCTTTGTATATTTATTTTTTTAGAAATTAATAACAAAAAAATAAAAATAAAAATAAAATAATAATTAATTTTCAATATACATATACAATGCAATAACTTGCATAATTTTATCTATTATATTATCTTTATTTTACACATCTTCTATGTCTATTATGTATAATTTTGGATTTTTCAACAACACTTTAAATAAATAAATTAATATAAAATTAACATTAAATTGATTCAATAAACTTGATTTATATGTGTGTCTTTGTTCATCAATTTTGGAATTGTTGAGAAGGTTTAATTTTTTTATAAAAATCCTTTTTGTGAACCAAAAATATATTGTACAACCATTTTTAATAATTACAAAACTTTTTGGTAATTTATTTATAATACATTTTCATCACAAAAACATCTCAATTATGTACAAGTATCAATGATTTAAGGTTATTGCAACAGTTATACAATCATTTAGCTTGCTAAATATGTATCCTCTAATATATATATATATATATATATATATAGCACTTATTATTACTATCAAAATAATCATTAGCACATGTCATTTTGTTTCTGCTATTTTATGTAATGTACTTACTTTCTAATAAGACTATTGTTTTCAACAAACCATAGGAAATTGCAAATGTGAGCAAGTTTGATGAGACTCAATTCTTGAGCACTTCCATTTGGACTCCAAGCAATTAATTTAGTTATTTGAGTGGCCTTTGTAAAAGGAATATACAGCTCAGCTCAGTAACAATAACAAACATATGAAAAAGAAAAAGAAAAAAAGAAAAAAAGAAAAAGACCACGCTGAGTGGCGTTGGAAAGTGGGAAGAAGAATAAAGTACATTAAGAAAACAATAGAATTGGTAGTATGGATATTTAAAAGTATATACAATACAGTATTTAGTAGTATTATTCTTTTAGTATCACTCTAAACTTGAAATGTCAACTTGACCATTGTCAATTCAAAGAAGCTTAACAAATACGGATACGCGTACACAAATACAACTCAAAAAAATCCACACATTGATGTTTGGTGCAACTAAACGAGAATTGGTAACCAATTATTGAATCTTTTGAATGGAGCTTCGAGCATCGTGGTCGTCGATGTCGTCGCGACAGCCCAGTCCCTGCAACCCTGAAACCCTAAAGCTTGAAACCCTAAAGGGAGGCAGGAATGGAATTGGCGGTAAATGGCGCAAGGCATGTGCTGGCCGTGTAAACTGTGTAGATGGCATTGGCATGGTGGGGCACACGCGCCAACTTGTTGCTCCACCACCCCTAAATTTTCCCACGCGCGCTACATCCCATAATGAAGTAGGGGAGCATCCTCATGGAGTGCTAGGGTTTCACGCTTTCGTTTTAACACACTGCTCGTAACGAATTGTAAAGAGTGCGTTGGTTTGTTGGAAATGGAAGAATTTCAAAGCGTGACATAATTTGCACGCAGGCAGATAAAAAGGAAACCATCGGGTTAAAGTGTGCGGTAGCCATAAAAATTGAGAACGTTTGTAGGGGAAGCCTAGTCATCAGCAGTATGGCTTAAAATACCGCCTACCATACCGGCACGATAGTTAGATCGGCCGCTGGCACAGAGATCTCGGATGCCGTGGTACCGTCGATCAGTCAAAACTGCTGCGGTTTACGATCAATTCGGTCCTTGTGAGAACGAAGTCAAAGGCCCGGATTGTGGGTGACGGCTTCGTCAAGCAAAATTGCTCCAGGCTGTCGAGTCCTCGTCCCGAATGTCGCTGTCGAGTGCGGGACTCTGTCAATCCTTTCCAGCGCTGGTTGCTCAAGTCCTCAGCTGACGCGGGGGTCGTGCCATTCGCACAACTTGTCCCGCTGCGGAGGAGTTTGTTGATCATAGCGTCGTCGTCGTCGTCTTCATGTGAAGCCCCTCAGTTCGATTTCAGCCACTGTTCTCCCATTTGGCGTCGTTCGTCCAGTTTATCTCGCCGAGGTTTGGCACTTAAGAGCGAGGAGTGCGAGAAGGTTGCACAGGTCGGAACGTGTGTGGAAGAGCTAGCAAACGTCCGAATTTGTTTCGGTGTGGATCCTGAATTGGGGATTGTTGGGTTTTGGTAAGAGAGTGAGGTTTGTGGTGGTGGCGGAGAGTTGTCGGGAGCAGAAGTGGTCGACATGGGGGACGCCAACCTCATCTACAGTTTGGTGTCGAGAGGGACGACGGTGCTGGCTGAGTACACCTCGTTCGCCGGCAACTTCAGCCAGATTGCGATGCAGTGCCTTGTGAAGCTGCCCGCAGCGAACAACAAGCACACGTATGTTATGGACCGTCATACTTTTAACTTCCTCGTTCAGGACGGGTTCACCTACTTGGTCGTGGCCGAAGAGGATTTTGGCCGCCAGATCCCTTTCGCGTTCTTGGACCGGGTGAAGGACGACTTCAAGCACCGTTACCAGGGGGGAAAGGCTGACCTCGCTGTGTCGCATAGTCTTGACGCTGAGTTTGGACCCAGACTGAAGGAGCACATGGACTTTTGCGAGAGGAACCCCGAGGAGATCAGGAAGATGTCGAAGATCAAGTCCCAAGTTGCGGAGGTGAAAGGGATTATGATGGAGAACATCGACAAGGTGTTGGTTCGCAACGAGAAGATTGACCTCCTAGTGGACAGGACGTCGCACCTTCAATCCGATGCCCACAACTTTCAGCGTCAGGGGAAAAAGATTCGGTACAAGTTGTGGTGTCAGAACTACAGATTAAAGCTCCTCGTCCTGGTCCTCATCATCATCGTTGCATTCATCATATACCTTTCAATCTGCAGAGGCTTCGTCTGTTACAATCCCGGTGTTCCTGGTACTCCACCTGCGCCCGGCACCCCTCCCGGTCAAGGATTGTAGGCATCCTTCTACAGCAAACTGTCCAATTACGCGACTGTTTCATCAACTGTGACAAGACACTGTGGTGCTTCACACACATATCCGATGGCAGCATTTACAAGGGTGCTCGAGAGGATCTGACACCCCGGCTTCAAGAGCTTGCAATCCAGGTTGTCCCATGGCCTTGCCCATCATCTTTAAGTCTTGTGGCTCGGAAAGCAGGTTCAAATTTCCATCTCCACTTGTGGGATCTCCTCCAAAAGACTAGAAATGGCCAAGGTCGGATTGAATGTGTTCAGTTAAATTCTTAGGTGTGAGATAGCGGGGCTGGTTTGCAAGCATCTCTCAGTCCGATCTCCACACTAGCCTCAATTGGGGATCGGAGGTCTGCTGCAGTTACGGGTTGGGTTCGAGATTCTCAGCTCTCCGCACCGCAAGCCCTGACTTGTTCTGGTCCTTCACAGCTGGACTTTGTCTTCATAATCATATCACTGTTCTTCATTCTACATGGTTATCATTTCTGTGTTCGGCACTGAAGGACCATGCTTCAGTGTCTCGTGTCTTCTGCTCACAAATAGCAGCTCTATCAATCAGTTTTCACAATCCTCGTGCAGCTTAATGCTTCAAAACACGTGTTAGATCATCAAAGTGTAAATAAGCGATGTCTGCAGATTTGCCTTAACCAAATGCTTTTTAAAGATTCCGTAGAACATGTTCACTGAGACTGACATACCGACAGTTATTTGATCAAGTCAACTGTAAAAACTAAGTTTTTAGGCATTACTTTTTTTCATTGAGGATTTTAAATAAGTTGGGTGAATTGAATGGTGGGTTTGAGCATTACACTTGTTTCAGTTACGAATAGGTTTTATTAATTGGGCTTTCAAGGTTTGTTCAAAAACTAAGATGAATGATGTCTGCACAGTGACTCTCTGTTACTTGATGCTTGAGACTCTGTTCTTTGTCACTAGATTGTTAAGGTGTCAAAGGAAAAATTGTAATACATGAATCTAATCTGATTTAATTTAATTAAAAAGTTTTAATTTCTTTATGCAAAGTTTATAACAACATGAAATGAAAAGAAGAAACTAACATTGGAAGATTGTAAATTCTTTAGTTGCATTCAATAGATTGAAAATTGCATTAATAATACAATCAATAAATTTATTGAATTATCTATTGATTGATTGAATTATTTGTGTTACAGTGAATGTGTTACATATCTTTAAAGCCTTGAAATATCAAAAGAAGGCACAATGGTAAAAATAGCATAATAATAAAAAGAATAAAATAAAAATGTATGAATATACACAGCTGCCTAAAATAGTGATTCCACGAAAATCCAAAAATTTTAAATTGAAATCACTTAAATAAAAGATTAAAATCTTTAACAATGGACTAATAATGAAAAAATCGAAAGTAAAAGAATAAAAAATATCAGAAAGTTTAACTAAAATTTTATTATCAATATTATGTTTTTATGAATAAATTATGCCTTGATATAAAATTGAATGTAAAATAATGTAAAAGTCATACATTATTTTACATTATTTTATGTGCCTTACATTTCTATTGTGTGTTACAAATTTTTAGGTAGGAATTAATCAATGCAACCTCAAGAATTTATTAACATACCAATAGACATATTTTCTTGTCCTCGCCAATAGAGCCTGTGTAATCTTAGTTTAAAATTTAATTTTCTTCACAATTTTAATTTTATTTTTTCAAAGTGGAGTAATTGTTTAAAATAAAAAAAATATTATAGATGATTCAATGATATTTTGTTATGATAGTCTTAGAAGACGATGCCCAAAAACAAGTCAAAAAATCAAAATTAAAATAGAGATCTTAGGAAACATCCAAACATTCTGCAAACTAATAATTTTATACTCAAAAAGAACAATGTAAAAACTATAAACCACATTGCTTCTAAAAATTAGTGCAAGGAATTGTATTCAGAATTAATGATCTTGAATGTGATACTATTATAGTTTTAATTGAATGATGTCTTAAATAGAAGGTTAGAAGTTAATTATTATAGTTTTAATTGAATGACGTCTTAAATTGAAGGTTAGAAGTTAATTATTACAAACAGTTTTTTTAACAAATAAAAAATAGAGTTTTTTTTTAGTTCATTCTGTGTTATATTAAAACAAAACCTTAATTCCTGTATTTCATATATGTATAAATAATACATAATAATTATTTGATAACCTTTGATATATTTAAAAGATTTATCCTATTAAAAATCACTTTTAATAAAACTATATTTAAAAAAAAAAAAAAACATTTTGTAGATCTAAAAATACAATGAAATAATATATAAGAAAAAAATATATATATATATATAAACCAAACATATAACCATGTAAAACATTGTTATTCTTTGTATGGATTGACAATTAATGTATGAATCACAAAATAATTGTCATCTTCTACTTATTGTTTGGAACTGTAATTTTCAAGATAAATTAGTATAACTTTAAAATAACCAAAAGATTTATTTTGTAAGAAAAGCATAAAGCTACTCTTAACAAGTTTTTTAATAAAAACATAAAAAAATAAAAAATTGAGGATATTTGAAGATTTAACATTGCAATAGAAAAACTATTCTATGTTTTAATGCTTTAAATATTTTCTTCCTTGTTCATTCAATAAAGTAATTAAAATAGTGCATTTATATTTTTTAGAATTTATTATTATTATTTTATCAACATGGTTACTTGAAATTAAGATTTAGGTTTACAAGCAAAATTTTAAATCTAAAATAATAATGTATAAAAATATATATAAGAAACCAATCATGCCTTGCTTTTTTAGAACATATTCTATATATAGAAGAAATTCAATAAAATTATATGAACATGGCTATCGGCTTAATTGATAAATATTTTATACTTAAAAAATACAATATATAATAATAGCAAGATTGGTCTTATCCTTCTAAGCACATTGTATATAGGTTTTTATTTTTATTTTTATTTTATTTTATTTGGATTCTTTAAAAACTTACATATATTTAATATATTACAAAAATTTAAAAGAAATTGAAGTCAATTAAGAAGTTATGTGTGATAATGTAGTAAATGTATATCAAAAAATGTTATTTTCTACTTTGTTGTAAAAAAATCCAAATATTGCCATAATTAATAAATAGAAAGAAAATATTGAATTAATTATAGAAGAATCAATCACACTAAGCAAATATATGGGCTGTATATAATTTATTTTAAAATATGTCTTTAAGAAGTTACTTGACATATTTTAATACAACTACTTTATAGATGTAATCTTAGATAGTATGAATTTTAATTTCAAATTTGATATTTTGACATTTCTACAATTTTAAAATTTTAAAATTATAAGTACTAAAATTATATAAATAATTACTTAAAAGATGCAAAAAATTAATTTTAATCACAATGAAGAGATAACACAATTACTTCTATTGTTTCTAGATTGCAATCATATCCTATGCACAAATCTACACATGATTTGCAAGCTAAAGTTGACAATTTGACTAAATATTTCCAAATACAAGGCTTCTTTGGAATTGCATTAGCAAACATTGAAATCTAGTTGTAGACCCTACTAGACATTGTTATTATGCCACTTAGTCTTCTATTATTCTATCTTTAAGAATCTACACACAATCAAAAGATTGTCAAACATAAAAAGGACTTGATTATCATATTTTTTAACTCTACCACTTCTAAGACTATTATACTTATAAGAAATTTGATTACTTTAGGTCTTGGATACTTGGTCCTATTTTAACATGGAAACCAATGTTATTCATTTTAATAAGATGACTTGACTATTAAGTATCTTAGATATATATATTTCTATATTTAGATAAAGATATATATATATATTTCTATATTTAGATAAAGATATATATATATATATATATATTTCCAATTACAAGGAAAAGACTTAAGTCACTTTATTATTACTATTTAAGTTACTTTACAATCTATAATTTAAAAAAATTAGTTGTAGTTATTTATTACAAATTTTAGAATGCACATCTTTTTTGACTTTTAATAATATTTATTAATTCAAGATAGACACATCTTTGGTATAAAAGTTTCATCTCGGATCATATTTTGATTTAAATGACTTTATTGGCATAGGAGTTAATATCACATAATAGTTAAATATATCTACATAGTTTTAGGAAGAGGTAACAAATTACATAATTATAAGATAAAAAAATTAATATATATGGTTTTTTAAAATTCTAAAAAAGAAAGAAAGATGTAGCTAAAATTATTTAATTTTTTAATAAACAATATTCTACATATCTTATGAGATAAGTTAAATATGGTTAAAAGATCTTGTAACAAATGTTGTAAAAGAGTGTTGGCCAAAGACAAAGTTAACATATGAAATATTTAACTACTTCTTAAAAAATTGCTTAATTTTAGAATAATAATTTTGGACTTTTAGAAAAAATTCAATTTAAGATTCTTTAGGTTTATGAAGGCGAGAAATAGAAAATTTTGATCCTTTAATGTATTAATATCCTTTCTTGAACAATCTATGAAGAATCATTCAATAATGGTGATCTTTGAAGATAGCTTATTAAACCTTTGTACAAAAGATCTTCTAATAGACATTTTTTTAAAAAAAACACTCTTCATATAAAAGTTTTTAAACTAAAAATAAATATTTATTAAAAACCTCTTTTATTAGATTTTCCATTGAAAACTCCTTTGATTGTGACCATATAATAAAAAATGATATAATTACCTCAATATATATATATATATATATATATATATATATATATATTTGAAATGAGCCAAATACTTTCATTTATATAAAATATAATAAATATATGCACCAAAATCAATTAAAATATGTACCACCATTTGGTAAAATATATAATTCTATTTAATATTAGAGCTTATCAGAAGTTCAAACTTAATAATAACACTCTTAATTTATTTTAATTTTAAAAATTATATATCTAAATTTATTATAATGTTTTAAAGAAAAGATATCATCAAGGTGTAATGTTGAAGGCCTAATAAGAAAGATAATATAATTACATAAATATTATGCTTATTTGGTAATTCAAACATATAAAGCCACAAGGCCAAAAAGTAACATAATAAATCTCTATTGAATGTGTTTTGGTATCTATACTCACCTATTATAAGAACCTAATGAAATTTTGAATATTTTCTTGTAATTTGGTAGGAGGAGATGATATTAAAATTTTTAAAGAAAAAAAAATAAACTTTTTAGTTGAAAATACTTATTTTTTTTGTTTATTGAAAATATTTTTTTATTATATATCTTTAATAAAGATGAATTAAATAATATTTTTCAAGTAACTTGAGACTATAAAAGACATGAAAGTAATAAAACAAGTAGCAAAAAACTTATTCAAGCCTTGGTTGTATTTTAATATTGTTACTATTATAAAAAGAATATAGTGAATACTTATCATATTTTTTAAAATATAATGTTTTATTTATTGATAAGATTTTTTTAAGTGAATGCTTATTTCTTTTTTATTATTTATTTTAATAAGCTGGTAAATTTAAACATTAAAAAATAAAATTACACAAAAGGCAAATATAGTATTTATTTTCTATAGAAAAAAATACAATTGATTCCAAGAAAATGATAAAAAAGATAATCCTTTTATTATACAAAATTTCTATTGGAGGCTCTTCTAATATTTGTATAAATTTTTTAAAAAAACCAATCTAAATTAATACATATATTAAAAGTACTTTGTTTAATTAGAAGAGCCCTTAAAGCCATAGTTAGAGAATATCAATCAAGAACAAATCATATTTTTTTGACCATGAACTTATTGTTCACTTAATCATGTTTTGGAATAAATAGCTAAAAATTTTAAATTTTAAATTCAAAATCTTCTTTCATAAGAAAGATGTCACATATTCTTATTAGAAGGTACCCCTTATTAGAAGGTATCTCTTATTAAATGTAATCTTTTTTTCATCCTTTAAATTATAAATCTTTGCAAATTAACTTTTCTAATTGTTCTCAATAGAGTGCAAGGTTCTTAATTTAAAACTAGGATTTGAGACCTATTAAATGAAATATATCTAAAAATATCATTGACCATATTATTGATATTATTTTATAGTAATACAAATACAAAATAAAAAAATGGTTGCACTTTGATAAACCTAATTAAAAAATACAATACATCCATTCTTTATTTTTTGGTGATTTTTTTTATCTTGATTTAATCCAATAAAAGTCCATTCAATTCAAGAAAAATAATATATTTTATTTGATCATTTACATTCAAATATAGATAAATAAAAAATAATTGATTAATTATATTTATAAGAAATTTGAAACAAGGTTAGTAATTAGTTATGCTTTTCAAAAACTAAAAATTTTAGATTCACACTAATTATGAATTTATTTTTTACTAAATTATTTGTAATATTATTATATAGATAATATTTAAAAGATGATAATAATGTGTGATTATGTAAATTTAACATTATCTTTTAATTGGCTAAATACAATCACATCAAGTACAATGTCTTCAACCTCATTGCTATTAGTGATGTTGAATTAGCTAATTGAATCATCCTTACAATGGTCTTGAATTTGTTTAGCCACTTGCAATATATTGATGTAACAATTGGCTTAGAATATGCTTTTATATCTTTAAAATTCTTTGGAATTGGCAATGATAATTCTTCTTAGTCATTTTGAATATCTTATAATATGACAAAAATAATTTTAATATTGCCTTTCATAGATTGTATATCCACAATATTCTTTTGCTTGATAAAACTTGATCTTAATAATTACAGCTTAGAGTCCATATTCACTTAATTAACAATCTCAATGTGGTTAAAATGACAACCATCACATTGTAGTAAAAATATGAAAATTGAGTAAATTATAAAAGTTGTGTCATACCAAAGATACTTGGAGATATATTGAATTTATAAATATAGTGATAATTCATGATAACAATAAATTTATACATAATACAAATAAATTTATAAGTATTTAAAATATTACGGCCTTTGAGTTGTGTTTTAATTTGGCCACTATAAATCAAATGACAAATCTAAATTTATTGATACATTGACCAATACACATCTATGCTTTGATCTATTGATAGCTAAAAACCAATACTTTTAGCAACTTAGAAAAGAACAATAAAGCACTTGAAAAATAGTCATTCATCAAAATTATAATGTACATAAAATTTTAGAAACTTAGAATGACCATATACAAGCAAATTCCTGAAGATCTTGAGTTGTATGTAGATTATTAGAAAGTGTTGTGAACAAAATTTTATAATATGACATAATCCAATAAATATCAATTAGAATGTATTGAGTTTTTGGATCCTTGAGATTCATGTCCATGATACCTCTGCAGATACTATGTTGAAGTTGCCAATCTTAAGATCTAATGCTTTGTCACATTGGCTCTTGCTTCCAACCATTAGCACCATTTACCCAAGCTTCCTCTCCCTCCATTGCTACATCAATTAGTCGCTTACTCTCAGGGCCAAAGAGCCAAATTGGCCCAGATCTGGGATGGAGAACTAGGATCGAGATGGGGGATGGGCAATGAGAATATGGTTGGGAATGGAGAGAACAAGGATGTAGGATGGGCACTAAAAATAGGGAATGGGAACTGTGGGAACAGGATTTGGGAACGGGGAGATGCAATGATGGTGGATCGATTTAGTAAAAGCATGGATTGATTTACCATTCTCCTATATATATTGATATATATATATATATATATTACATACTATGTAAGTTTTTCACCTTAAATTTAAACACAAGGAATACCCTGTTTTGTGTGAAAGAAACAACACCACCCTAAACCCTATGGATCGTGGAATCCTACAGCTACTTTCTTGAATGATTGGTGGTGGAATTAGAGTCGAAGATCAGTGCAGGGTGGCCTAATCCTTGTGATTTTGACTTTTTTCTCGAGAAATTTTGTGGGTGTTTATTTTGGGTCATTAGAATTTTGTTGGAGTTTGAGTTGCGGTGGATTTCAATGAGGTCGAGGTTGATTCTGAGATGGGCGAGAAGGTGTCTGTGAGTCGTGTTGCCTCTTGCGTTATGAGTGAAGACGATCTGCTGCTTCAGAATGAATGTGAGACGTGTGCATCAAATTGGAGTGTGATGCGATGGGCTTCCGGTGGTGCTGCAATTTCTCCAGAGAGTCCAAATCGGCCAGGCCTTCGAAAGTGCTAAGTGATACACGATCGCTGCTCTTCCTCTGCATCTCAGAGAAAAAGCTTTGATATCAGACTTCAGTCTGTTGCCTCCCACTAGGATCCCAGCTTCCCCTCACGCCACCAATTCCAGGCTACGTAGAAGTGATGACAAGGTCAGTAGAACAATCGGCCAAAATTCAAAAGATAAGATAAGCTTTACACCCTTCTGATCAGGCTCATCTCGACGAGCCAAATTCTTTTAGTTTACACTCGCTGAAACCCCTTGCTGTTGAAGTAGTCTTGCAAACTCAACAGCTCGGCAATCTCTTTTACCTTTGAGGCTTGAGCCTCATCCACCAGACCTATCGCATTGCATCCAGAGGTGGCAACAAGTTTCAAACCGGTTTGAAATTTGTTGGATGAATACAAACCGGTTTCAGGGTATGTTCACTCTGATTGGAACCGGCTTGAAACCGATTTAGAACTGGTTCAGACCGGTTAAGGAGTTGCCACGCATTCGTGTCTTTCAATCAGCTCTGTTTCATCTCATCCTCAGTCTATGCAAAGGCTACGAGCTGGTGGGTAAGACGATGATGCCACCATCCGTGCAGCAATTCGCAATTGACTAAAGCTGAATCCACGAACAGTCCGTCGTGTAGAAATTCAACACAACAAGGACTTGCAACTAAAACTTACTCTCCAACACTGGAAATTCACTTACAAAGTTAACAGCATGCTTACAACGGTGAGCTCCAGAGGTTTCACTGATGGTCGACAGAAGAGCCTTCATTGTGTTGAAGTTCTTGCCAAATCTAGTCATAACACTCCCCTAGCTAGTTCTCTCTGAATGTCCAGTTGTGCACATCTCTACTCTCCGAAGGGTGCGGACATGAATGGTTGAGTACCTCAGTGATCGAGATCGCACCTCTAGTTAACAAGTCCATGCTATAGAGTGAGAACTCGTGTCCATGTGGTTCAACTGCCTCTATTCTGAGATTTGTTGTGCAACTCGGCCAGCAGCGAATGACTCGGTGTGCTGGGGCAGCTTCAGGCTCTGAAACGGGACAACCACCTCAACATCTTGCATGGTCAGAAAATGTGAGATGTTACTGCGGAGCCAAAAGCTAAAACTGGGCACCACTTGAATTTACGAATTGTTACTTTCCTGGACCATGGACTTCAAGAAGCAAAGCATTTCGCACGCAGTGTTTTCATTGCATGAAGCCTGGTATCCATGTCTCACACAAATTGGTGCGTGACAAGACAGGAGACGTATAATATTTGTGATCGTTAAGCCCACGAACACCCTAATGTTATGGCACCCAACAACTAAGCGAAAGGGACTTCTTAAAAAAATAATAAAGTCGTATCCAAACCGAATGTCTTTTAGTATTTCAACAAACACATTTTTTCAATACTTGCACAATCTGGATAAACAACTGATCAAGGAGAATAATTAAATTCTCCAAAATTTTACTCCTAAAATTGAGATCAAGGAGAATAATTAAAATTTGGAGAAATTTTGAAAGATTGCAAATGTTTCACCATCACGGAAAGCCATAAATATCTGATGCATGAGTTGAACCACGAGGATAACTATAGACTCACGAATTTTAAATTTGAAAAAAACTCAGTGTCAGAATCAGGCACACATAGCTTATGTGTGACAATCAACTTCTGTTCGTTACGAGCCAATCAGCTCAACAAACGGTCTAGAGAGCGATTTGGAAGAGTTAAATGTTGACGACGAAGAAGAAGAGGAGGAGAAGGAGGTTGGGATGCTGAAGCCAAAGTGGAACGGATGTGGTGAGGGTGAACTTTTTCTTTCCCGCAAACTGCGACTCGTGCAAGCTTCTGAGAATATGCTTACGCATGCCTCGATCAGCTCCTGACCCAGCAGCTCCACATCGCACATGAAATTCCAGCTCTAAGATTGTTGCTGGAAAGTCAGACCGGAGCCCTGCAGATCGTAGAATTGGGGTTCGCTGTTTGTGCGGCTCAGTCTTGTATCCGGAGATTCAGAGTCGCTGGTTTTGGGTGGTGATCGGATTGGCAAGAATTAGTTTCGAGACGCTTGCCGTTGCGAGCTCGAGGGAGGGAGGGGGAGATGGGTGTCGCAGCGGTACCAGAGGCTGCTGCTCCTTCCACTTTGATGAATTCGATAGCAGCCAAGCTTCCCCACCTCTCTGAATCCCATGTATGTCTCTTCACATTGCTTGCATCGGTGGATTATTGACGCCCCTCATTGAGTTTGTGGGGTGCACCAACAATGAAGCCGAGGATTGCAAGCTTTCAAAGTGTTCTTGAGGCGGATGCTATTTATGAAAGTCGTAGATCATCGGGCGAAGGGTTTTCTTGGGATGAATTTGAACATGTGAGATGTAGAAAATTTCATGGTAGATTTATCAGATGAAGAATAGCTGCACAAGGGTTTGCAATTAGATTCTTAACACATTTGACCCAAATAGCAAGGCTAGTAATGTGATTGAATTGATGGATTGTAGGGGATGATGGTGGAGCTTCTCTTGCAAGAAGGACAGGACCACCTGTTCCAGCACTGGCAACCTGGACAAAACGACAACGATAAACTCAGATTACTCAAGCAGGTACTTCTTTCACTCTACAGTGCTTCTTTTGCTCAGTTTCTCGACTGAAAATTCGTTATCAATGACTAAAAATGTTGTTACAAGGGTAATACATACTTGCGTTCTCAAATTTGATCTGTTGCTGGGAAACAGGTGGAGAGGTTGAATGATAACTACCCCGGGGGTCTTGCTGCTTACATTCATAACGCAAGGAAGCTGCTTGCTGATTCCAAGTCTGGGAAGAATCCTTTTGAGGGCTACATCCCCTCGGTAAGTAAAGAAGGGTTTTTTTGTCACCAAATCTGGGTTCCGTTCGGCCTCCTCCTGGCATTAAGATTGGTTTTGTGAAGATAAGCTTTGCCAAGATTGAAATTGAGAAGAAACTTGACCCTATCGTAAAATGCATTTTCAGGTTCCAGTCGGTCAGCAGTTAAATTATGGAGATGAAGAATTTGTGAAGTTCGAAGAGGCTGGTGTGAAGGAAGCTAATAATGCAGTTTTCGTGTTGGTAGCAGGGGGCCTTGGTGAGCGCCTCGGTTACAGTGGCATAAAAGTAATCTTAATAACCCCCTCGCTTTACTTGCATAGATAGAGGTTTCAGAGCCGTACCTGGCCTTGACACAAGCTTGAATACTGCCTTGTTCCAGCATTTCAGTTTTTGTTGTTTGTTCTGGAAGAAATATAAGACCAAAGAGGATTATTTGGATCTGAAACATGATTTTGATCACCTCTTCATCTTCGCAGATTGCTTTGCCTTCCCAATTAACCACGGAAACATGCTACCTGGATCTTTACATCCAACACATCTTGGCTTTCCAAGAGGCTAGTGGTAAGCACGAGTCAAAGCATTTCACACTTCATGATCCAATTATCAAGGAATGAACAGTAAGGAATACATCCTTAGTATTGTAACATGTTATACAGGGAGCAGAGGTAATGGTATCCCTCTTGTGATCATGACGTCTGACGATACTCATCTGAAGACCCAAACGCTTTTGGAAGACAACAAATATTTTGGAATGTCTCCCAACCAAGTGCATCTCTTGAAACAGGTGACCTTTTCTTCACAGTACATTTAATGATATATCTAGCAGTGCTCATGGAATTGTTTAGTTTACATAGATTTTTCCTCAAGTGATTATTGTTAAGATCTATTGTGCAGCTAGGGTCCTTTGGTGATTCCTTTAATAATGTGCTGGGTTACATTGATATAAAATTGAATCCTTATTAGAATTGCCTTCTGCCTATTCTGCAAGGTTATCATTGTGATAATCTGTATAGTTGTTTTCCAATCGTTCTGGATAGAGAGAAATTGACATCCCGGGCATTGGATACAGGAGAAGGTAGCATGTCTGGCTGACAACGATGCAAGAATTGCTCTCGATCCGTCTGACTCTTACGCCATCCAGGTACGCATGTCTTTTACATGTTGCCTTGTACAGATTTCAAGACGAATTCTTGAATCGATGCTTGGCAATCTTCCGTGCTACGACAGATCTGAGATGTGTGGAATGTAATACTGTATGTGCTCTGCTTCAGACAAAACCGCATGGCCACGGAGACGTACATGCTGTACTTTACAACAGTGGGCTGCTCCCGAAATGGTTTGCGCTTCTCCAGCATTTTATTTCCTTACTTTTCATTGGGACATGTCAATGAAAAATGAAATAGCCTAACGCATCAATGTGTGATTTATGTATGCACTGGAATTGAATAGTAAAACGCTCTCAAAATTTCAACAAGTGCAGGCAGGAGGAGGGACGTAAGTGGATTCTATTTTTTCAAGATACAAATGGCCTGCTTTTCAAGGTATACTGCTTCTGTGTTTCGTGCTTGGGGATGTTTGTCGTGCACCATCATCATAGCCCATTTCAGGTTCATAAATGGATGCTTAATGTGTCTGCATTTTATATGAACAACAGGCCATTCCTGCAGCGTTGGGGGTTAGTTCGATTCGAGATTTGGACGTGAACTCACTAACAGTGCCCCGGAAAGCGAAGGAAGCCATTGGAGGAATTTCAAGGCTCACTCATGAAAACGGTTAGTCAAAGTTACAGAATGAGCACGATGAGAAGTTTTCGAGATCCTTGAGCGTCAGTGTTCTGTAGGTGAAGAATTTACAAGCCGTAGTTGCATGTTAAATTTAATTTTTCTAATCTTTCCAAGTGATGAGAATTATGGTCTTACATGTATGTTTTAGTATGCCAGGATCCGAAATGGTCCTGAATGTGGAGTACAATCAGCTGGATCCGTTGTTGCGTGCCTCCGGCCATCCAGACGGTGATGTCAATGATCCAGCTACTGGGTATTCTCCATTTCCAGGCAACATCAATCAGGTGAAAGAGTGCTCTCTGCTGTGCGTAATAGGCCGCTTAATAGGTGCCCGTGGTATTAGATACAAAAATCAATTACATTAAATCTTTTCGTTTTCATTTTGTCAAGTCATTCTGTTACATAATCTGTTCCGAAAACTGTAATATTATAGTGCGGGTCCTAATACATACGATTTAACGTTCAATTCTGAGCCCAGGTTGTTTTAATTGTCATGTGCAGCTAGTGATGAAGATCGGGCCATATATGAAAGAACTTTCGAGGACTAAAGGAGCCATTGTTGAGTTTGTTAATCCCAAGTAAGTGACTTGTTAGGTTTTTTATTTGATCCTTTTTTTTATCTGAAAGCTGGCGAAAGTAATGGCGATGGAAAAAAATGTAGTAGAAAAAGAAAAAAGAGTAATTACGTTATTCAAACACATTATTCAGTATGAGTCAGCCTTACTGAAGCAAGATGTCTCACCTATTTTTGACTTTATTACGTCTATTTGAAGGTTCCTTCCTCTATCTGATATTTGAGTCCCAAGGTCAGAAGTGCACCTTAATTCTCTTTTGAGCTCTGTATAATGGTGACATTGAGATGATTTGTTGTTCAGGTTTTCGTTAGAATAGATTACAACTTGCAGTGACGTTTAGATAATCTATTACATATTTGTATTCAGATACAAAGATGCAACTAAGACGGCATTCAAATCGTCAACAAGGCTGGAATGCATGATGCAAGATTATCCCAGGACTCTCCCACCCTCTGCGAAAGTGGGTTTTTCTGTAAGTTCAGTCTTATGGCATCCAAAAACCCTGTGACTACGGTTTTAGAAGGCCAAAATAAAAAAAAATATATTTTTCCATAAACAATTCTAGCAGTTCATGTAACTTCTTAACTATAGACTCAAAAGCGCTCCTTCGATGGACTGCCCCTCGTCAATTATGCTTTTCATAAACTACCTGATTGTGGTATCATTCCTCACATACTTGGATTTGATGTGTAGGTGCTGGATACCTGGGTGGCTTATGCCCCCGTTAAGAACAATCCCGAGGATGCGGCGAAGGTGACCTTTTTCCCTCTTCTTTTCTCTTCTTAGCATCATATCTCTTTGTCTGTTCTAGCATACACTCCCTTCTTGGAGTTGGGAGAAAGAATCGACTTCCTGGCTGAGGATCTTCAGTTAACCAATAAAAGCAAGGGAAAATTCATGTTTACCAGGCATATTTACAAGATTTAGATGTTTGATGTTCAGATACCCGAAGGAAACCCGAAGCACAGCCCTACGTCAGGAGAAATGGCCATCTACAAGGCTCACTGCCTAATGCTTCGAAAAGTAGCATTCCACCTATTTCTTTTCCGTCGTCTTATATGCGTTGAAAAGTTGCTGTCTAGCATGCTTTTGTTGAACTCGTTTTGTTCAAGCGTGGTGTTCAAAGCTCCTGCTTTTATCCTTCATTTTAGTGCAAAATATTATTAGCAATGTTAATGTTGAATGTCGTGAGCAGGCTGGAGCACAAATTGAAGACCCGCAGCAGGAGGTTTTTAATGGACAGAAGGTAGATGTGTGGCCTCGAGTCATCTGGAGCCCCAGGTGGGCTTTGACCTTTGCAGATGTGTGCAAGAAACTGAGTGGGTCTCTACATATCTCACAGCGCTCTACTCTTATTCTCGACGGTGCACAGATCTTACTTGAGGACGTCTCCTTAGATGGGACTCTTGTCCTTCATGCTATTCCAGAGACTGAGGTAAGATCAATCAGCATTTCAGTTACGTGGATTATACTTCGTTTTTTGAGAAGGTTATGTTTTAACCGCGTGTGGGTCTAGTCCAGGGTGTTAAATACAAGTGCTATGTGTGCAGGCTAAGCTTTCCAATGTCCGGGTGCGGAACAGAGGATGGAGCTTCAAGCCTCTGGATTACAAAGACACCACGTACCCAGAAGTCACAAGGATCCGTGGCTTTGAGATTGAGAAACTTGAGAAGAGCTGCATATCTTTTGATCAGCCTGGTTCGTGCCTGGTGCAGAATGTGTCATTGTAGGGTCATCTCTCTTAAGTAGCCTAGCATGGTCATTTTTTCTATTGATTTAGCAGAGCATGCTTTACGTCATACAGCCTAGCATATGTTCGATTTTCAAGTATTCAATCGAGTGGCTTCAAATCTTATTCCATGTCATCCACATCTTAGTTGAAAGGTTTTAGTCAGGTCCATTTTTGTACAAAAGTTGTTTTGGATCAATATCTTTGTTTCGGTTTGAAATCAATCTCAGAATAATGCGGGGACAGGTGTTGCAAGATTCTGTATACGACTTAATGACTGGTAGCTTGCAGCATCAAGTAGACATTTGTTGTCATATACTTCAATAATGTCTTAAATGCCATACGTCATCATTTGGTAACAGTTCACAATGGAGTTCGACAGAAAGAGGTCTATTTCGTGATTATATTTTTGGTTGAGAACTTTTAAGGGTTAAACGAAAGATAATAGTATATGCAATCTGTTTGACAATTTGTGTAAAATTAACGGACATGACTGTTTGGATGCTTTCTACAATCATTCCACTGGACAGCACACAGGATAGCTATTTAGTTGACAGAACGCCTTCATCTCAAATCATAGATTTAATACTTTTAAGACTGACCCAAGCTAGGACTACATTCTGGTGAACAATCACTACGCTGCGTGCGAAAACAATTATGCTTGTTTGATAATATCACTAAAATAAGCTTTGAATTTTCTTCTTTACATATTTACATAAATCACAACCAACAGCTGTTCAATTAAATCAGATCTGGCTATAAAAGGATCTGCAGCAGTGTCATAATCCTATGAAGTACGTCATAACATTAGAAAGCTAGAAATCGACTTATAGAAGGAGCCAATCTGTAAGGATGATGACTGAAAAAAAAATGACATGCAGACAGCAAGGAACATACGACGCACATGGAGTGGCTGCAAAACGGATGGAGATTTCCCTCGCCCGTCGCTTTATTAAGTATGATACAGTGGAGTCACACAACCTATACAAGCTCATGCAGATACTGCAAGTGGTAACTCTAGTTTAATGGGTAAATGAGCCGATATCAACTGACTTCATCCAGGGGAAACCTGACGTAGCAACGAAATCGAAGGAAAATATAAAACCTTGACCCACGTGCAGCCAATGCAATCCTGTCCTATCCCAGCTTATCTGCCAGCTGACAGCGGTACTCTTACGGAGCAATTCTAAAACCATGACCTGCAGTCACTGCCACGGTTGGAACAGTGAAGCAGGCCAGACTCTAGTTGTTTCTTGTACATACCTCCATGCGATATATGCCATCATGGGTACAAAATTTGTAGGCGAGTGGATAAAATAGGAATTGAATGAAGACTAACCAGATTCGCGAAGCTACGGGCTTTCTCCTCTCCTGTGGCGGTGCAATGACTCCTGCCTCTGTAATCTCATCTCCTCCCGAAATTTCTTTAAGAATGCTTCAGTCCGCTGATCTACATCATCATCCTGCTTCTCTGGATCTGTATCGATGCTGTCGTCGTCTACAACTCTCACCTCTCTTGGTCTCCGTGCTGGCATTGACTGTTGTTTTATCAATGAGGGAAAGCTAGCTCTTAGTGAACTCACAGGTGAAGAATTACTTCTTCCCGACGGCTTCATAGCTTCTGTTTCAACCTTCTCTGCTTTAAAACTGGACGCCCCCTTAGGCGACGTTCCTATTTGAGAAAGGATGTCAGGTCTAACAATCTTGGAAGGTGAATGTACCTTAAAAGTAGGGGTTGAGCTCACAAACGGCGGTCTAGGAGGTTCTACTGGCCTTGTCGGGGAGAATTTGGGCGTCCGTTTCACAAATTCTGCATAGCTTCGAGAAGATGGGCTAGACATTGGCCGCCTTGCATATTCTGGTGGGGTGGGTGGAGACAGACCAGAAGGATGATCTGTCTCGCATTCACTACTCTCCCGCTCCACGTTGCTTGAAATCTTCGGATTAAATTCCTGAACCAAATTTTTACCAGCATGGGTTGGAATAGGCTGAGTTTGTGAGATTTTATGCAAAATGACCGTGGGTAAAGTCGGAGGTCGTCGTCTCGACGAAAGACCTGGAGGAGCTTCGACACTACGGGAAAGAAATGTGTTGCTGCCATGCGTCTGCCTCTGAGAAGGAGAAACCGGGGGAGGAACACTTAAGCCTTCTCCAGCCGCAGGAACAACTGGAGAACACGGGGGAGATCCTACCGTGCGATTGAAACTTTGGGAAGCCTCGGGACGCAATTCTGGCTCAAGTTGGTTGTGTACATGTGAATATTGAACAGAATCATCTTCGCTATCGTATTTGATTTCACCTTCAGGCTCAGCTTCTCCTTCGTCATCAGCCTCAGATCCAGCGTGTTCCTCCTCACGTTCGGATCCCTCGAACTGTTCAGCAGGCTCATCGTCAAATTCTGATCTGGTTTCGTCGTCATCATAAGCATACCTGTTCTCCATGCGGAGATCAAACCTGCCCTCCTGGTGGGGCTCATAAGCATCTTCCTCCCTAGACTTGACTTTATCCAGCTGCAGTGGCTCAAATCTTCCCTCCACACTTAGCGAATGTCTCTCTTCCACTCGGGAAGGAAACGAATTGTCCATGTTGACCGAAAATCTTTCATCGGTCGCCCTGGGCATGAAACCATCATCTACCCTGGAGCTGTAATTCTCCTCGACAACTCTGGGGGAGAATTCGTCGTCCACTCTAGAAGAAAACAGCTCTTCAACACTGGGCACGAATCTTTCGTCCACACTCGACTCAAATCTCGTATCATGTCTAGGCATGAGCCGTTCTGCATCATCACGTTCGGGAGGCTGGAGGGGAGCAGGCGGACTCGGATGGGGCGGATCGGAATCAGCGCAGCTCACTGGCATCATAACCGAGGCGGGTTGAGCCGCCTGGACGGGAAAAGCCGATGCATGAACGAGAGCGTGTGCCTGTCTCGCAGCGTCGGCAGAGAAGTAAGCCTCAGGCATGCGTGAGGGATCCATCTGCGATGAGGAAACAGGCCGCTGAACGAGGTAGGATTCTGTGAACTTGATGTTCTGCTCTGGGCTGGCGCTACTGCCGGATCCCCCAAGAGCCCCAGACGTAGCGAGCAGAACACCAACAATGAGCACCACAAAGCAAGTGGAGGGCGTACACCATTCTTCAATAACCTCTTTAGCCTGTAGTACCAACTCCGGAGAAGGTACGCTGGTCAAGGCCAAAGGAACCGCTGCCATCATGATTGTGAAAATTCCAAGCATAACAGTTTCCAAGACTGCCCTGCTCTTCACTGGACTTACAGATCCATCCTCCTTCCCCATTGTCAAATCGTTTGGTTTCCGCTGATTTGCCATGGCCTCCACCTTGAACCCGTGCAATCCTTTCCCGAATGCTGAAGAAATGTCGTGGGACATCTTTGAAGGCACAGAAAACGCCATGCCCCCAATCAGCCTGGACACATAGACGGGCACATCACACACGCTAGCTTTGGTCAAATCCTGATTAACCGTGAAGAGCTCATACTGCACACATTGATGCCTGAACACAGTGAAAAATTGTGGGGAAACATAACCCAACTTGTGCGCAACCACCGGGTTTAGATAGAAGGACATCATTCATCACGCACCGTGAACAAGAAATCCTTCGAACATTCACAGGAATTGACTCCGTACGTCGCTGTAGAATGACAAGGGCAAGTCATCACAAATCCACAAGCCGCAAACACTGGTTCATGAAGCGAAAACTGAAGAGATTCCAGAAACAGGACACAAAAAAGCGGATTCGGTGCGAGTTTCGAAACAAAAGAGTCCACCAAAGCGATACAAAACGACTCACACTGCACATGAAAAGAGCAGGATGAGGGAGACTACTAACCAGCACGATCAGAGCCGAAAACCGCCAAAACCTCCAGCTACCGTCGACAGTACTACTCACAAATCGAAATGCCGCCAGTGCCGACGTATGCAAACAGATCCCACCTCCTGATAAGTCCCAATAACCTCAACCTCCACAACAGTCGGCCCGCAACCACATCACACACTCCAGCTCTCTCAAGTCCTCCTCCCAGCTCTCGCAGCTACCCCATCCCGCTCATTACACCTTCAAACCGAACGTCAACACCTTACACAACCACCAACACCACGCCTCCTCTCTCAGGACCCTCGCAGCTACTGCAACAAACAGACCGTCAACAAGATCCGACCCATAAAGTGGAACGTACAACCAGTCACGCGCAAGCAGCAACCCTACCCAATGGCTACAAGAGAGATTTCAGCCCCAGAAGCGGCCGACTTCGGGAAATTCAAGGCATTGGTAATGGTGGAGGAGGTAGCGTAGGACAACAGCGGAAGCGTTCACAGTTGAACAGCAGGGGGGTGAAGAAGGGAAATCGGGTGCTACAATTTGAAGCTATAAGCGGAGGGATTGTTGGGTGGGCTTGTTGGGCAGGCAGCTGGGTGACGAGTGAGGACACGGAGGGAGTAGTTAACAGTTGGGTGCGAGGAGGACTGATCGCGATGAGCTCCTGCAACGGAAGACAGCCCTCCGCGGCGGAGCCCGCAAGGCAGAGAGCCAGGGCAGCTGCCGCCGAGGCAGGGCCCGGCGCGCGCGACCACCGGGCCCACCATCGATGGTCGTTCAAAGTCCAGACGAACGAAACTCCTCGTCCTTCGTCGTCGTTCTTGTCTCCGTTGGTCGACGCGGCTGAGTGGGGGCATTGTCAGCCAGCTCCTTTTGATATACTCACAAATATTCCCATCAGCTCGGTTCCGTACGCCTCTATTACATGCCCCATTTTCTGTCTTTGGATAATGCCTGTGCGGGATGTTGTTATTATTAAAATATCTACAACAGCAAAATTGTTATTATTAAAATATCTACAATAGACAAAATTGTAGAGGTCTCTTTTACTGGCTATAAAGTTCTCTTTTTAGGTGGGGACCCCATTCCGCACATCATGCACTCACTGACTGACTTGCTTGCGATTTCCTGCAGTTGATGGGTCACTGATTATTTATTTATTTGGTTGTTTTTTTTTTTGTATTGATCATCCAGCCATGGACTTCGTGGGCGTTGATTGCTAAATTTGGCCAAAGCCAACCATTTGACTGCAATAAAAAGGCAATTATGTCCGCAACTGTTGCACCTCCTCACCCCTTTCCTTCGTCACATTCCGGTACTTCGGAACAGCAAAATGTACATGATCTCCTTTTCCAGCAACAGTAACTTCTAAGTAGAGCAGAATGCGAAGCTGGATTAGAGGGAACCATTGCTTCCAGATCCCATAATTAACCCGAGACTCACTTCATTAGTGGATACTCAACAGCAAGTAGGTTTTAATGAACGGGGATGGCGACAAATGTTTTGGACACTGGACCTTACTTGGTGGCGTAGGTTTCGGGTTCGAACCCATGTGGACGGTGTCTGTGGGGATTTGAGATTTGGGGGGCCTAGAGAATGTAACTTAGTTGATGTGATTTGAAATGGGGCTGGGCTAGGTCGGACTGAGTTGGGCCAGCCTAGTGGGCCTTTGTTACAGTAGGGGCAGGTAGGTAACAAACAGAGAGGTTGGGAAAACATGATAATAATAATAATAATAATAAGTTTGTGTTATTTGGTTTGCTTTTCTATTGTAATGGATCTGATCTGAAAGGTGGGAAAGGTTCCGTCTGACTTCTGGATGCTTAAATAACGGGTCTGGGGTTTGGTCGGCCGATCCGAGGAAAATGCCCACTACCACCAAAATCCTGTAATTTAGATTCAATTTTAAGCTCTCTCCATCTACCACCTACCAATTTTTTACAAGACTTAAGTGCTACAACCCAAATCGATCACCTTTCATTCCTTTTCATTTCTATTTTTTATTTTATATATATATTTTTTAAAGATTTTAATATGGTTTGATACATTATGGGTGGGGGGGGGAGTGTAATGGTGTCTTCAAACGTTTTTATTGCGGATGGAAAATGGATAACGAAGTGTAGCCCACGGAGTCCCCAGAAGAGGGAAGGCATCCAATGAGCTCATCCGATTTCATCATCCATAAAAAGGATGAGAATTCTGAAAGGATATGGATGAATGTTGGTTGGTGGTTGATGAAGAAGTGGATGAAAATGTCGTGGAAGCCTGTAGAAGCTCCCCCCCTTTGCTACTCTGTTCATCTCCTTGTCAGCGTCCCCACCCCTCGTTCCCAGAACAGGTTCCCCGTTTGTGCCCAAGGCCGGTGCTGCGTGTGGGCCCCCTCTGAGGATATCATCCATTTCACATTCATTCGCTATCGTATCACATGTGTCGTTCATCCTCATCCATCCCCATCCAATCTCATTCACTTGGGCCTTTATGTGAACATAATCCACATGTTAAAGATGAATGCGAGTGTTAGACATTATCCAACGCCGTTAGATGGAACTTATTCAATTTTTGACTTATTCCTGTGGAAGACTCTCCATTGTGGTTGTGGGGCACAGAATGTTGGTCAACTCTACAATTGTGAAGGTCAGGATTAATAGAGAAAGTTGATAGATAGGTTGATTATATATAGGAAGAAAATTATTCCATGGATGAAACTGCCGTTAGGTGCTGGTAGCGGAAAGCACAACACTTCCAGCTTTGCAAATTATTGAGGTCCGATTGACCCTCAAAGAATCGGGGCACGGCAACAATAAGTCATTGCAACACCCTGCGGAATAATTGAGGCTTATTATTGTATGCTTGAGCCCGAGGAGAAAGGCAAAGTTGTAAAAGGGGCTTAGGTTGAATGGCTTCAAAATGCAAGAGTTTTCATACCAAGGAGAAAGTAAAAATGACGAAAAATACGTTTCAATTCAAAATCCTTGTACACAGAACGATGCATAGGGAGCTACTTCATGCGACATGGAATGGCAGAAAAGCCTTGGTAGAGTGCAACGAGTGCGAAGAACCTCCTACCGTTCCAATCCCTACACAATGTCTACAACCTGCGAAGTGTGGATTAATCTCCTCAACACGAAGCATGCACTACGTAAACAACAATTATCTGGATCTACCACGAGGTCCAAATCACATTTTACAGCAAAATCACTAAACGTACAAAGTCTTCTGTATGCCCTCCAACTACAGCGAGAGCCCGCAAGACTTGATTTCAGATGCATCAAAGATTCCTCTTGCTTAGGTTCCTTTCCCGTCTTTGACTTTACCAATCCTGAAAAGGGAAAAGAAAAAGAGAAAAGTGCATTAGTAGCAGTCAAGGGCTTTAATATCCATGGAGTTATATTAGTGGTTAAATATATCCAATCATATTCATGGCATTAAACTTGGGTAGATATCAACAATTCATCAAAGACATGCTTGAAGTGTTAATATGGTTGTTTAACTATACATTCTTCGATTCGTCCTTTTGAGTTTATCCTAACTACTGTGCCATAATAGGCAAATGATCTCACAGAAGTGAGGAACCAGTGAGGACCCATACACAAAAAAAACATACAGAAGTGATGAATCAGCACATCACCTGAAGCAATGGATGCCAAGTGCCTCTGTAATCTCATGAATAACACTTACAACAAAGTGGCCGTAAAGTGAAGCTGCAAGTCATTCAGAAACACGAGTTTTATAATAAAGCCATCACAAGAGCAGTCTAGAACTTCATAACATAAATATAATTCAACAGTCTCTCAAATATAAATCTAGACATTACAAATCGTAGTGTCAGCTAAAAACCTTAACCCACTCTTACTGATACATAGAAGAAACTGGTTATTAATATAAAAAGCAATTGAACCGTACCTGTGAAAGCACAGAAGCCAACCAAGACCCAAGTCTCATCCACAAGAGGTTCACTGCAATCCAAGTTAGGACAAACCTTGTGAATACAGGTAATAGAAAATGAGCAAAAAGCCAATTGCACGCTTTCATCTTTTTTGTATTTTACTCCAAATTCTGACATTCAACAATTCAGACTGACAGGGTCAAACATAACACTTATGTCGCAAGCCCACACGTCAGTCTAACGATAGCATCACACTTACCCATTGAAATAATTTGCTGACAGTGCATTGCCAATCGCAAAAGGCAGGTACAAAAGTGCCTATTGAGCCAAATCATGAATTAGTCACAGAACTTTTAATTTTTTGCCTCGACTCTTGCATGCTGAAGCATAAAACATAAAGTGGGTCCCTTTGAGCATTCTCTTGCAATTAAAAGAACACCCCGATAGGTGCAAAGAAAGAATTTTCGTTCAGCCTCTTTTGTTCGCACAAGTAATATTCTACTTGAACAACGGATTTTGGGTCAACTCGAGGCTTGGGAATCACTCAACCCCCATACCACGCAGTCTCAGCCGCAATTTCAATTCCCTCATTTGTAATATAATGTCTCGGAAGAGTACTGGAGTTGTTAGAGAATGGCTAATATCTATTCTCTGAAGCCTGTAGTTAGAGAATCACTAATACAAAGCGGACTCCTTTAAGCATTGGCTTTCCACCGGCTTAGGGGTTACAGCCACTGAAGTTGATGGAATAACCAGTGACCACGTTCGGCTTATACCTTTAAAACAACGTAGTAAAAAAAGTAATCATTTTAAAACAGCTAACACCCATTAGAGAACTGAACTACAGCTGGAATGACGCCTTGCACTAGGTAATTCAGGTTTAGAAACTGCAACTTACCGTGCACATTCCTGTCTTCAAACCTTTGGGTTCATCACATAGATGTGCAAGAATTAGTCGGCCCTGCAATCCACAATCCCAACCGCCACCGCAGCCATTATGAGATAACACGAATCATGCAGACTTGACCGCTCAAATTAGAATCCAAGACATATTCAATGATCTCGCAGAACCTTCTGCCAGTACAGGAAAAATTCGAATATCCTTGATCTAGCTGATAAACAAGTCTTCACGAGGCATCATACCACTAGGTAAGCGAAGGCGAATCCAGCTCCCATCATGACCAAATGTGGTTGAAACCTTAAGATATCAGAAGGTGATGTCCACCCCCTGCACAGAAGAATAATATTAGATCTTAGCTCAGAAAATATCAGAAGGATTCACACCCACAAATTCTCTTGCTGTAGACATCGATGTGTCCACAAATTATTATACCGAGTACAATTACAGCGGACTCTTGACAGGTCGGATTTTTAAAAACATAATGTTGCTTACAAGTCGGCTCACATGTTCTGAAGTTTAAAACCCGCTTCATAAATTTAATGCAATGTGTCCAAGAAAGCGACGTACCAGAACAGAACTGCTCCTAGAAGAGTCCAAAATGGCAAGAGCTGCAAAACAATTCATGCGACAGTTGAAACTCATACACTAATATTTACTGAGGGAAAGAAAGCGAGAGCGAGTCTTCTTAATAGAAAAAGGTACATCCGTAATCGGCATTGATTTGATTCCGCCTTCAGCACCTCACACTAAGAACTCACAAGGGATTCCAATTTCGCTGCATGGAAATTATCAACAATTACACTTAAAAAAAAAATGCGTCTGAAAGAAATGTAACGAGGGATACCATTGCCAACGCCGTTCTAAAACTGGTACCTCTTCCCCTCACAACTTTGTAGACGTTCACAAAACTACAAGAAACTCCAAAAAATGGTATCAGTCCCAAGAACCAACAACGAGGAGCATGTTGGAATGCTTATATAAACATGTACAAAATAAGATTGCGTGGCATTGAGAGAGCTTACTTGTAGCCCACAGTAGGGGCAACTGCCACCGACATCATCAAAAAGATGACTACTACAGTCACAGATACATCTGCACAATTTCCACAACGACTAAGTATTTAGAATTAACTTACACAAAGCAAAACTTCCTTACAATGGCGTAGGTATCACTTCTGCGACCATGAAGAACTTTCTTGATGATCTTCGAAATCTCACCTGGAATGAATGGAATCATCCCCAGAAATGGAACGGCATTCTTAATACTTTGTGTCCACCATGTTGGGCCTATACACACCACAAAAAAATTGAGTATAACGAGAGCTCAAATCTTAAGAGTATATTGCATTTCATGCACAGTAGCATTAGTGTAGAAACATAAACCAGTCTTTTGAAAGACAATATTAGACCTCAATATGTGAAGACCTGACAGAACGACAAGGAGAACGGCAGAAGAAGCAGTACCGACGATTCCTGTAAAAATGTGGGCGCAGTAGATAATCATCAGCCCTTCAGTTGGACCATTGATTTCAGGAAGGATAAGCGTATCTGTGAAGAAACTGTGGCCCGACACCCAGCACAAAAATGTCACTTAGAGATTCAAGACAAACTCGATGTGTCTAAAACTTGCAAGTTATCATTTACGCTGCACATACATTACCCATGACAATCCCAGTACTCAACAATGCGCCTTCACAGAGAGACATCACCCATGACCAAGGATTTTACCTTTCCCAAGTGGCACCATAGAAAGGAATCGTTGCAATCACCCAGAACCAGAACGATAGTTTGCCAGCCATCACAGAGGATGCAAAAGCCATATTTTCAAACTGTCAGACAATACCAAGCACAGCAGGATGAAAGTCAAATATTTTGAATTGTTGGATTCAGTATTACACTTGACATCAGCTAAATACCTTCTACAGCTTCCTATTGAATCCATTTCATGCATGCAAAAACTAACAACAATCGATTTTGTGCTAAAAAAAAATTAGATTGGCTCAAGGAGTAGTTTTGACAGAATGCAGCGAAAAGAAAAAATCGAAGTTGTCACTAACCGAGCAAGTGAGGGCATCACAACCTGCCAACCAAGGAGCATACACAAACAACATGATGACGTCAATAACGAACACCCACTACATATCAGAAACACCTGTTTCACGCCTAATTGGTCCGCTGAAAATCAAAGACAGAAGCTAATTCAATGTCGATCAACTCATGCAGAAACTCAAATTTACATATGTAAGAGTGCCTACGCACTGATAAGTGAACTAAGGGACAACATGCCTGATAAATCCACCAGCAGCTTACGAGTTCAACAAAGCTGTTTACCGTGATCAAAAAGTTCTCCAAGAGGACTCGACGAATTTGTCCGCCTAGCTTGTTTCCCATCAACAGCATCAAAGGTCTGTGAAGAAGATTGGGTTTAGAGCCGTATCTTAAGGGTGGATAATTAACGCTGCATCCATATCCGTCAATTGAGAAATATCGCAGCTGCCACTAGTTATCATCTTTACATATTGGGAACTGGAGACTTACAACTACTCTAGGTACGAAATTATCCAAATACCAAGTTTTCGTTGACACTCTTCAAAAGCATATGGTTACAGGGTCTTGAGGTTTAACCTGGTAAAGAAAGAGAAGGATGCCATGTGCAAAGTGCACCCACCGAGGAAGTGGAGCATCCAAGTGCGGTGAATAAACCTGGCACCAATCATTTCTCAAGGTTACATCAGATGCCATCCTCGGTCTGGATCCACCAACAGAAGTCATCAATTCTAAGCATCATTTTAAGTACGAATAACGATCCTTCACTATACTACATGTTTGACTTAACTTGATTCTGAAAATGTGAGAGAGTGAGACTTTATTCTGTCAGAAGTCCAGGCACTTACATAGCTCAACATCGCTGAAGTAAGGATCATCCCAAAGCCCATCAAAGTAATCTATCACAACCAAGAATGCACTCACGGTCAAGTTGTTGAACGTTCAGATACTGCGCAACTTGTTCTCATTCTGAGTACTTCGCAAGCTGGATTTCCAAAGCTTTTCCAGTGAAAAAAAAAAACTTGGAAAATTTCTGGATAGCCGGTGAACATCACAATTCAAGCATGAAGTTTCACACTCGTCCATGAATGGAAGCTGGAAAATTATTTGAACTCGATTATTCAGTGAAACGCAACTACAAGAAGACATATGCCCTGGTTTGCAATCATTCTCATCCTAGTTTCATTCCCGAAAGAATGACGACTGACGGTAAAACTCTCAAAGAAAATGAAGTCAAAACTAGCATTGCAGGAAATCACGTTAAAATCGCAAAATTTGAGACGTACCATGTTGGGACTGAACAATTGCACAAGAGGTCGAAGCCCAACCAGCACAAAAAAATATCAACGTCAGCAACAGCGACAAATCCATACTAAGTCCCCACAACACTCCATTCTCCTGAAATTCCGAGCCAGATATTTCACAAATTGGTCGATCTCAAAACTACACCCAGGACACGACAGCTCAATTCTGAACACACACTCTCTCTCTATCTCTCTCGACCCAAACACCCAATCATTCACAGTACCCCCAAAAACATCTGTATTCAACTGCAACAAGTGTCCTCACGCACTCTTCCCACATTCGAACGTGCTCACTTACGGCATCCACATGGGGAAGAAATTCACGGCAAAGCGCCAGAATGGCTGGAAAACCCATTTGGCCATGTAAGAGCGATCGATCCCGCTGTACTTGTAGCGCTGCAGCGCCTCGACGCCATGCTTACTGACGTAGCCCATGGCCACTCCTCCAGGTGTATGCAACACCCGAAAAACAAACTCACCGCCAAACTAGTGACAAAAAAAATTTCTAGAAAAGAAAAAACAGGAAAAAAATAGCTCAGCCCCCCGAATGCTCAACTACAAAGCAGCAAAATCCCTGCACATGGCACACAATCGGTACCAAGCAGCAGGGAAACTGATCAACTCTAGTCGAATTCTGAACGAAGGAGTCGAAACCTCAAGTGGGCTACGCAACACTGAGGGCTGACGTGGCGTTGACCCAGGTAACTCGGCACGAGCCGCGTGGCAAGGCGCATCTCAAAATTCCGATTGCTTTTCCGGATTGGATTACGATGGAGCTTTCGGATCCACGTGGCAGAGGCACATTGGCCCCCGGACTCTTGATAAAAGTCTCCATCCGTTGGATGATCGGTTGAGGTGTGATAATATTCATCCATTCTAGGGGACAATAGGGGGATATTAGCCAAGTGGGTGGCATAAGTAACATTCTTCATTCTATAATTAGGTATCTCTTTAAGCACCTTTGGCATTAGAAGCCCAAGACAAATTGAATCGTTCCTCTCCCATCTAGGAAGTTACTCTACATCCACTTTTTAGTATAATGTGCTACATAAAATAAAATGATTATATCTTGTAGATGACAATTATGATAAGCAGGAATTTATATATGTAGAGTTTTTGAATTATGTAGTAGGCTTTAAAAGTAGAAAAAACAAGACAATTTTTTTTTTTTTTTTTTTTTTTTCCATTTTTGTTTGGGAATTGTTAAAGTGATCCTAACATTTACTAATTCAACCCACCCATGATCATTGGTTGAGGATCCAACCATTTTTTTAATGCTTTTTGATCGATGCAGATCTGGTAGTAGAGAAGTTTTTGATCATGGTTGGGATGGCTGGGTCAGTTCATTAAATACTTGGATCACTTTAACAATTCTATTTTGTTTTTGAATGAATTAATGGACAATTAAGGTTATAATAGCCTTATTTTTTTATTTTTTAAAATATTCTAGATGAAATATTCTTCATATTTATTGGATGAATAGCAACAATAGAATATCATTTTGCACATTTTTAAATTGTTGGTAAAATTTCTTTTTACATTTTACAAAGGATGTTAAAGAACCAAAAATACTTGACATGCTAAATAAAGAATTTTGGGCAGTTATTACTTCTAATATGGTTTTATAATTCACACATATTGTAGTCTTTGGTTTCTTTGATTTTAAATTATAACTTTTAAATATTAGATTTTACATAAATATATTTTAGATAAATGATATTACCATATATATATAGAGGGAGAGAGAGAAAAAAAAAGTTTCTAAAATAATAAATAAATATAAATTAATTTCTATTATGTTTTTATGTTATTAAGTAGAAAATTAATTGTAAAACTCCAAAGTTTGAATTTATAATTTTTTGTTCTGTTCAACAAAGGTTGTCTTAGTAGTCTAAGTCCAACAACCTTTGAAGAGTTAAGATATGTAAAACAACATTAAAAACCATAAAAAAAAATCTATAAGAAAAAATTAAAAAAAAAAAAAAAAAAAAAAAAAAATCGAGGATGATTTTAGAGTTATCTTGATTTTTTGAGCTATTTCTTTTAGTCATAACCTAGTCCTACCAATTTATTTTTTATCCAACTATTTTTGTTCTTTCTACATTTTATTCTAACTTATCTTTGTTGGCTACTTGCTCTAATATTTACAATCTCAACTCTTCAAAGATGGACCTTCTTTTTACTATGCTCCTATTATTGTTTTGATGTTTTAATAATCATATTAGTTATTTATTAGTTACTTTATTAATCTTAAAATTCAATGTTTTCTTTTTTTCTTTTAACTTAGCTTCATATACTATAATACATCATCTTTATCTTTGAGTTGTTGTAAAATACACATTTTTCCATCTTAGCTTATAATCATGTATTTCTAATGTTTTATACCACAAGACAAATATATCATTTACATTCATCCATATTCTTGGAATATAATATTTTTCTAGTAGTGCATTGAAAATTCCCTAAAAACTCATTATATATATTATTCATCAAATTTTGGAGCACAAGATTTTGTATCTTAAATCTATTTGATTTGATACAAAATCTTGCAATTTATGATTTAAAAAAAATATATAAATATGATATTTTATAAAAATATTTTTTCTTTTTATAGTAATTACTTAAATTAGATTATATCAATTTGTATAGGATTTGATTTTGATAAATAAAAATTTAAAAATATGAGAGTTGTTTCTATTACTTGATATGTCTCTTTCAAATCAATATTTGCTCTAAGCCTTTCAAAGAATTGGTTGTGGTATGCAATGGTTTGAGTGATAAATTATTCTAATGAGACTAATTTTAGTATTTATAATATTAAATATTAAATACTTTTCTAAGCCATATAATAATTAATCAACAAGCATTTTATTGTTTCAATCTATAATGGAAGTAAAATGTTGAAATTTTATAGAATAGATAGTTGTTAAATAAAATTATTGTTATAAAGATTGGACTTCTGACTTTGCTACTTTTTTATACTTGTTATTTTTAATTGTGGTTACAAATGGATTTACAAAAAATATTATATTATAAAATGATCATAAATATTTTTCTATTAAAATTATAAAATTTCAAAAAGAAATATTTTAAAATAAAAATCAACCTATAAATACCACTTAAATGATACTATCAAAATATTAAGCAAGATATAATTATGAGAAGAACTTGACCTAGCATAAAAATCTTCAAAATTTTGATCTTATTTCATTAAAAATTTTAGTTATACTAATCTTTAATTCCTTTGTATTTATAATATCAAGATATTTGGAATTTACTTATACAGTTGATTTATTTGTACTTGCTTCTTATAATTTTAAAACTTCTTGGTATAAACTTTAAATTTTATTCTTAATTTTTTCTATAAAATTACTAATTTTATTATTAAAAATATAAATATTTGAGATTTGAATTTAAGGATTATTGAAAGAATTTCAAAGATATATAATAGATATAAATCTATTTTTAAATATCACATATATAACATCTATAATTTTTATTTATTTATTTTAAAATATTTTTATTTAAAATAAAATAAAATAAAATAAAATTCAAAATTCACAAAGAAAATAATGTAAAACTTCTAATATAAAATAAAAAAATTCATGTAGAAAAGATATATACTTTTTTAAAGAAAAAAAAATAATGTTAAAAATTGTTAGCTAAAAGATAGATTGTTTGCAATATTTGAAATACAATAATGTGTCTTAAGAAGTAAGGTAATCTAAAAACTTATTAATTAAAATATCTATTATAAAAATATTAACAAATTATTAAATACATAAATTTATAAATAATTATAAAAATAAAAATATTAATTTATTATTTTAAAAAAAGACTATAAGCAAAGATGAGATAATTATAAGATGTAAAGAAAATCAGAATAACTATTATCAACTAAAAAGAACATAGAGAGTCTTAAAACTAAGACTTGAATATTAAAAAAAAGTGTTTGAAAAGACTTAGGATGGTTTTAATCTTGCATCTATATATACAAGCTATCAAAAAGTCTTATAAAAACTTTCTAAAAACCATAAGGCTTGTGATTTGAGCATCAACTTGTGGATTGCTTTCTATGCAATTTCTTAAAGTAAAAAACATCTAAAACAAGTTTCAATAGCTACATGACATATCTATAAGGGTCTAAATATCCAATTTTTATTAAACATGTTTCTACTTATTTCTACATACTTTCATTTAATTCTTTGTATTGAAATAATATATACATTATTATAATATATTTAATTTAAACAAAAAAAATTATAAATAATGGTCAAATTACTTCATAAGTTGAAAAACTCCAAGCTCTTTTGAATAGTATTAGCAAAAAATTCTAATCTATAATACATAAAAATGTCATTGGTAGGTTTCTTTAGCCATCAATAATATTTTATAGAAAGAAAGAAGATCTAATTATTTGATCATTTTTAAGGCCTTCATGTTTACCTTCAAATAGTATATTTTATATGCTATTAGATGTAGTATCTACCTATAATAATATTGCTAAACATCAAGAATCTCTTCAAAGATTGTAGTACCAAATATAATGTATTTTGCCATCTATATAAGAAAAAGCATAACTTTCTTAATAACCTTTATTATAATTTTAATATTACTAAAGTCAAAAAATTTAATTACTTTATTTAGATTTTTTTCAAATATAAATTCTTTTATTGTTGATTATTTATAATAAAAAATAATTATCAATTGTTTTTTGAAAAACAAATCCTTGATTTATACCACCTTGTTGTCATTAATTAGTCTTTGATTTTTATATATGTAAATAAAAAGCAACAACAAGTCTTAATGCAATTAGAAAATTTTTAGATGGCTCTCATATGCATAACAAGATAAAGATTTAGAAACTTATTATATTTAAAGAAAGCAGACATGTTTAAATAAAAAAATTCAAAAAAAATTTAAAATAGATTTGCAAGTTTAATTGTATAAGAAGAAGTGAATTATTTTAGGTATAGCAATTTTTTAAAAATATCCAAAAAGATTAGATCTTGATAATTATAAGTATTTGGTATATTTAATAATGTCATGATTTTAAGTAGTTTTTAGCTTCTATAATTATTTTTGTTTCATATAAATTAAACATATAATAACTTTTAGTTTATAAATATCTCTAAAAGATATTTTTTATTTAGTTTTAATTATTTTCTATAGCACACATAATAAATATTACTTTTTCTTATTATTATTATTATCTCATGATCTACTAATAAGTATTCAACCATAAATCATGTTGATATATATTTTTTTTTTTTTATAATTTTAATATTAAATTAGCATATTAGACCTAAGTTAATAGTTTAATATCTCATTCATGGTTTATTATAATGTTTTTTATTCATAGTATTTTTTAATATACTAATATATGTAAAGGTAAGACTAATATTGTTCTTAGTCTTATTAACACGTTTCTTTTTTTCTACTCTTGGTTTAAGCCTCTCTTGTCTCTTTAAATTACTAATAGTCATGTTATTTTATTTTTTCATCTCATCCGTTGTCGTGTTGTAACACGAGTATACAGTGAAAATAAAAAAAAATAAAAAAAAAAAGAAGAAGGGGAATTTTATTAATATTCAGTTACCTCGAATATTGGGAGCATCGACCAACTCCAGCGCAAATAC